GATAAGACCGTACATTAATTATACTGCTTTGCCAGCTATGTTGTATCAAGACATGATCGATTTGATTTCGTGTTTGCGAATCCGGTGATGTCCAAGTATATTTATGAATATCCTTATGTTTAAACGTCGTACTTTTAATTATCAGGTTTTTCGAGATGGCAAAGTTTATCAGACGGATCCCATTATCATTACTATATTCGAATCATTTCATACATATATTTTTTTTATCCTTTTGAGGCTGTTTCAGAACTACCCCAAAACCTACACGACTTGCATCAACTTCAGTTACAATATCTTTTTAAATTATAGAAGCTATATTTATTTATATTTCATTGTGGATATTTTTTTTGTATAAGTACCCTCATACATACAAATTTTAATATTTATATCGCTGTAATCTATACAATTAAATACGTTGTACGAATACAATTACAATGGTACGAAACATTATTTAAAACAGATCTTTTTCATAGCCGTCTAATGTATATTTCAATTATTTATTTCATTATAATAAATAATTAATTGTCAAAAATATTTTCAGACTGACAAGAATGCCAATGATAAAGAAGGCCACTATATTTATTTATATTTCATTGTGGGTATTTTTATCTGTTGTATATATAAAAATCTTAATTTTTCAATCTCTGTAATCTACACAATTAAATATTAAATAATACCAACAATACCATCTTTGAAAACTGCATATGTATATTTACATAATATTGTCAGAGTGCGTATTGTATTAAGCTCATGCTATGTATGGAAACGTGTTCTAATCTTTCGGGCAAGCTCTTATTCCTTTGATTCCTCAAGTACAACTATTCTCCATTACGATCTCTTATTTTTCCTTTAGTTAATTATCATATTTTATATTTAACTATCTTTTATATTAGTGATTAATGTGAAATGGTCAATTGTTTCAAATAAAAAAAATTTAATGGTACTTCAGCGGAAGCTAAAACTGAAAATTAGCCATTTAAGCCCTGTTAGAGAACATCAATCAGAATAAAGCCTACATTATATTTAAAACTGCTTTATGCACTGATATAATGAATTTAATCAAAATCGTTAAAGCAGTTTTCTTAATATTGTAAAACCGTATTTGAGAAAATTGTATAAATGTGTTAAATCCATGATATAAAGTGCCATTTCCATATAGTCGATTTTGACGAAAAAGTTGCTATATAACATCCCACGCATATATAAACCTTAATATGCAGTTTCACTTTCATACGAATTTTCGTTTTTGAGCTAGACTGTTGTAACACACACAAACACACACACAGACCATTTTGCAGGACTTGGTTATTTGGACTCAGGGGATCTCAAAACGTGTATTTCCATTGAAAACTGAGATTAGGAAATTTTCACGATCTCAATACTTTCCTTTATTATATATTTTATATATAGGTAAGTAAAAGTAAAAATGTACCATATATATCATTTTATTTTTATATATAGTATTATATTCTTCTTTTTACAATATGTTATGTTAATTATGTCACAATGAATTATGTTATGTTAATTATTACTCGTAGTTTTTGTACGTAAGCTTTTCGATGCACTATTTATTTATGGGTTGCTAATGGCAATAAAGATAAGCTTAATGATCGATCAGGGTAGGTACAGTGCATATAGATACAGTTGGAACGATACACTGGAAATTCCAGACGGGAATATGGATACATAGCACCTTAAGGTGAAACAAGAGCAGTCAAATTTGGATAGTGAGTTTTCCGGACTTGCCGTTCAGTGTGTAATAAAGCGTAATGTGTGACTATATGTGTTACTGTGTTAAGTTTTGCATATAGAACTATGTATGAAATTTATAGCGAAACTGAGCCTGTTTAGCTCTTGGCTCTTGTAATCTGGATGATCAGGATTTTGATTTTCGCGAGTATTTTCAAGACAATACCGCTTTAAGACAATTAAGGTTCTCTATATAAGTCGCGTTGAATGGAACATTCTTTAAACCATTAAGTAATGACATAAGAGTGATTTTCCTAGAATTACATAAATTTAATTTGGGTCACGTTTTATGTTTAAAATATTTAAAATGTTTATGCATGCATCATTCCAAGTTAGCGAACACCAACAATAATTGACATTATTCCCACATTTTTGAAGAAATTGATTCAATTCAATAAACCCCTTACTGTGCAGAATCTTGATTTTTGCATACTTTTTTTTTTGTTTTATATTGGAAAATAACGAACTATACATCTTAGGAGAGTGAAATTGGACATGACTGAAAATTAATATTTATTTAATAAATAAGAGTATTCATTAATAAGGTTGTGTGAAAATATTTCCATTCACTTCTGTAAAATTAAGTGTATTCATTTTAATAAACGTGAATACAGCCATATTCACTTTTACAAGTGTAAATAAGCCATATTCACCTTTACTAGCGTAAATACGGCCGTATTTATATTTACAGCTGTGGATATGTATCATCTGTATTCATATTTCTTTTTATGAATGTAAATATATTCATAAGTGGCATATACACTGACAGGCAAAAAATTCCACCCACTTGATTTTTTCATGTTTTCATCTAAAAATATTTCTGCTTTGGATTGGTCTATTGTTTTTAATGAATAAATAGGTAATCTTTTTGTTTGTTTTCAATTAGGAATGTTAATATAGAGGACAATAACCCTTAATCCTTGATTCAATGAAATGATTCTAGATTCTAATGTTTACTTTCTATGGAATCAAAATGTTTATTCGGTATCATTAGTTCACTGCCGTTCCTTGCAGCACATTTCTTAGTCTCCTACTTTTAATTTTTTTAATATTAAGTCCACCAGTCGGGAAATGTCCCTTTGCTCGAGGATAGCCCATTCCTCCCGAAGAGCCCTTTCCAAGGTCCTGCAGTGTATCAGGAAGTGTTGCACGCGCTCTTATTCGTCTTCCGAGGTTATCTCATAAATGCTCAATGGGGTTCAAATCTGGAAAACGTGCTGGCCAGGCTAAAACCTCAATATTGTTCTGTTGAAGGAACGTCTTGCACAATGCAGGCGACATGTGGGCTTGCATTATCGTACATTAGAATAGAACGATCGCCGATTTCGTTGAGGATAGGCAACACATGAGGTTCCAAAATATCATCTACATAGCGAATGGCTGTCAAAGACCCTCCATGAACAACAACCAATTCTGTGCGGCGCTCCATTGAAATCCCAGCCCACACCATTAAGGAACCACGTTGGAAAGGTTTGCTCTGGGAAAAATTACAGGCTGCATATCTTTCGTTTCTTCTTCACCACACCCTTTCACGCCCGTCTGGAGATCGAAGAGTGAATCTTGACTCATCTGTAAAAAGTACAGCATTCCATTCGTCCATAGTCCAATGGCCATGTTCTCGAGCAAAAGCCAGCCGTGTTACTCTGTGAGTTCTGATCAACTCTGGTCCTCTTTAGGCTTATTGTGCTCCAGCAAGCAATATATGTCTGTCGCCCCGCGTCCCAACAATAATTGTTACTCCCAAATAACAAAAAAAAATTATATATATATATATATATATATATATATATATATTAAAAGGAGTGCCCCAGTATTGTTTATTTATTGTTATTTTAATATTTTGCTGATGCTCTATCGATATTTCTTTAAAATATTGGCTGATTCTAGTTTCGAATTCATTATTATTATTTTGATTTCCTGCTGTGTATTTCGCTTCAATAATTTTTCTTGGGGAGGCTGAATTTGATTAATGAAGGGTCTTGGTATTTTCAAAACTAATTTCGTAAGTGTTATTTTTTTTTGCGTGGTTTAATAAAGCTGTGTTTGTTTTGGATTTTGGTTTCAAATTATTTTTATGATTGTATATCCACATATTTTTTATATATATATATATATATTTTTTTTTTTTCCTATGCCATATTCATTGGTCATTCGACCATCCGACATCTTGCTGCCCAATATAATTTTGATTTTTGTATGTAATCATTTACATATGTTTGATTCTTTATATCCGTCAAAGCAAGACATTCGTTTAGGTGGTCTGCATCCATTTCCGCTTGTTCACATAATTTACATCTCGGATTCTCAGCCACACTTATCTTGTGCAGATGACTTTGTAGATAGTCGTGACCAGTGGCCAGGCGGAAGCAGGCTACTGCGTCTCTTCTTGGTAGGTCTGCTGGGATCGGGTTTTCCATCAAACATCCATAACATTTCCCTTCCAACTTGTCTTTGTGCATATTTTTGGTTTCCTCCTTCACTATCATCCTCACCATTCGCCGAATTGAATCGTAGGATTTTGGATGGACTGTTTGTGGCAATTCTGCTCCCCTCCTGGCGAGACTATCCGCTTCCTCATTTCCTGGAATACCACAATGGCTCGGAATCCACTGAAGGACCACATTGGTGCCTCGGAGTGTTAGATCGTAGAGAAGGGATTTGCACTCCAAGATAGCACTCGACATACATTTATTCACATCAGTAATGGCGAGGATTGCTGCTTGCTAGTCGACAAAGAGAACAGCGTTCTGAACTTGCCTTCCTGATAGTGTTCTTAGGGCTATGAGGATCGCTGCTATCTCACCGTCAAAATTCGTACCATCCTCACCCACCGCAGCACTGAACTGAAACTCTCGAGTAAACTCCTGCCCCAGCATTTTTGATGGCTGATTCAGCTGATTCGTCGGTATAAATGTGAAGCCAATCCTGAGGCGGGTACTTTTGAGCTATAGTTTCCAGTGCTATCGCTTTCAGCTCATATTCTGGTGTTTCTTTTTTATCCACCTTATGGAGTAGTTACAGCTCTGCCCTGCTCGCGTGGTTGTGGATTGGGAACTGTGCCTGTATAAATGGCTCCCTTTCTTCACAGTCCAGCTCTCTTTCTTCAAGTAAAGCCTTCGCCTTTAGCATGAAAGATTTTATATGTTTGTATTCCTATTATACATAAAGATTTTATATCTACCTTAGAATAATCTCACATATGAGTTTGTATAATACATATAAATGTATTAATTTGCAAATTTATATTGTAGGACTGGAAGCAATCCTGTTATTCGTGGTAATAAGATTTGGGGAGGTCAAAATGGTGGAGTTTTGGTTTACAATGGTGGTCTTGGTTTGTTGGAACAAAATGAGATATTTGACAATGCTATGGCAGGTGTGTGGATCAAAACTGATTCAAATCCGACTTTGAAACGCAACAAAATTTTTGATGGAAGAGATGGAGGAATTTGTATTTTCAACGGTGGCAAAGGTAAAGTACTTTACTAATTATTTTATTAGTATTTTTTCAATGATTTCTCTTTATGAAAAAAAAATTGTAGTGTAAGCGAACACAATATTTAATATATATATATATATATATATATATATATATATATATATATATATATTATTTTTTATTTATTTATTTTTTTGGGGGGAATTTGTTCAAAAGTTTTGGTTGTTTATATTTTATAAAATCAATATAATATTATTGGGAAACTATTGTTTATCATTGTGATTGTTGATTACAGAATTTAGATGATGTTAATAAAAGTTGTGAAATGATGCAGTGATTAATTATTTGTTTTCCTATTCAATAGGTATATTGGAGGAAAATGATATATTCAGAAATGCTCAAGCAGGGGTTTTAATTTCGACTCAAAGCCATCCAGTCTTGAGACATAATAGAATATTTGATGGACTAGCAGCAGGAATTGAAATAACTTTAAATGCCACTGCAACATTAGAAAATAACCAAATATTCAACAATAGGTTTGGTGGACTTTGTCTTGCCACTGGTGTGAATCCTATTGTACGATGTAAGTATAAATTAAATATACCTTTGAATTTATAAAAATGTTATTTATATCTTTACATTGTGGTTTCAAGTAATCTTTATCATTTCTTCAAACTTTAATTTTTTTTTTTTTTTGTTAGTACGTGTCAAGGAACAGTCTATTTAAGTTGTTATCTAATCTTAAAAAATATTTCAATATTCACGTTTCATTTAACAGTACTAAAGACATTCCTTCTCATAATTACAATCACTTTCATTCTCATGTATTTTGTTTGCATAGAGTTGATTGGACTTTTTTCTTTTTCATGCTTATTCTTCTTCAGGGCTAAAAGAAACAGATAATAATAATAATAAAAGGCTTAGCGAACCTGGAGGTTCGATGCTGACACCTCCAATTGCTTATTGCACACCTCCCTCCTTCGCTTCGGTCTACCTTTCGGACGTTTATCATTCGATACAGCAAATATCAACCTTTTAGGAATTCTTTCATTACTAAGCCCAAAAATTTCATATATTGTCAAAATTATTTTATATTTGTAAATTTCCGAATAATACTTGCCATTCCCAACAATACTACCATTTGCATTTTTTCCATTGGCATAAACAGCAAGTCCAGATCGCGCAAAGAAGATTAAGATTCTTCCAGTATTAAACCATTACATGAAATTACCAATAGTAGAATCCGTCTTTCCTTTAAATCATACAGTTGTTTTTATTCTCCTATCAATTCTACATATTTTTTTTTATTTATTTATTTTTTTTTTTCCCTGCCACTACCTTGTACAGATTATCATCTGAAGGAACTCGCATTTCTATAATATACTCTATTTTCTTTTTCGATTATTAAAACATTAGGCCAATTGTACGGGACAGTATGATCCGTAAGTATAGGTTGATCCCAGAATAGTTTAACATTACGCTTGCAGATGATTGATTCAGGATGATATATGTAATTCGGGCAATAGGTATCCCTTAGTTCCAGCTTCTGAGCCATGGCTTGATGCACTACTTCAGCTGCATTGTTGTGCCTCAGTAAGTATTCTTTACCTGCCATTATTGTGCATCCAGAAGTTATATGCTGAATCTACTCCACTAATTTTTTGCATAGGCAGCATAAATCATTTATATTCTCTCTGCAAATATGCTTTCTGTTTATAAAACATAGAAAACTTCCCATTTAAATTTAATTTAAAATAAATCAAGAAAAAACAACATCTGTGATCTCGAGCATAGATGTTATATAGAGTCCGCCATGACTGAAGCATAGACGCTCATGTTAAGAGATTACGCTAATGCTAGCGTAAGAGATTCATTAGACTGGCCAGTTAAAAAATTCGTAACTCCACTAATTTGTTTAACATGGAGTAAAAAAACTAGAGCGGCCGGCAAGGGGCAAAATAGAAGAAAAGAAAAAATGCAAGTATCCCATCCCACCTATATTTAAACACAGTATAAAATTCAAAATTATAAAATAAAGCAATCAATTTTACATCTTCACTTTTTTAGTCCATTGACTTCTTTAACTTTACAGTCCATGTCAATAAATTATTACCAGCTATTAAAGCAGAATTATTATGTCAATATCCCTGACAGCCTTGGGAGGGATTGGCATAATAAATTAAACACTTTCTATACGCCCTTATGACTATTACCTGTTCTTGGATAGCCAGCAAGAAATAAATGATTCTGGTAGGTTCATTCAATAAATACATCATCAACAATAGAAATATACACTTTAATTAGAGTTGCATCTCCAGCACAAATAGTTCAATACAGCGGGTTCAATACAGCCCAGACAATTGTTATGCTGCTAGGTTGAAAACTGCACATTTTTTAATGTTAGTGACTAAACTGCAATTTTTTATAACTGCCTGTATTTTTTACTTTCACTTACCTACTTATTAAATATATAGTAAGTGACAGTATTGCAATCACTTTTCGTCATTTGTCACACTCTGATTTCTATTCAATGATGAGTTAAGTAACATATTATTATTTCAACAACCTATAATTATATTATTTTAATAACGTATTTTTATGTTGTTTTTTTTCCTTAATAAGTTCACTTGTTATATTTATATTTTTTTACTTTTTATAAGTATTAGTTATGTTTTTATTTTAATATTGCTTGAAGAACCACAGTTTTGACTATTATATGACTTTATTATTATCGTAAGATATTTTTATAAATAACATTCTTTGGTTAATACATAGAGGAAATATACATAACTAGGGACAGTTGTTGGTAGAAATGGAAAAATAGACCAAGAGATATCAAACAGTATCAAAAAAGCAAACGGCATCTATTACCAGATCTGCAACACGCTCTTAAGAAAACAAGAGGTGGAAAATATAAGTAAGATTTTATATACAATACACTCTACCTTCCAACCCTAATGTACTATAGTGAGAGCTGGGTCCTTCTAGATAAGCACAAAAGTAGACTTACTGCTGCCAAAATCAAATATCTGAGAAGAGTAGCTGGCCAAACTAGAAGAGATTGCATCCGAAACGAACGGATTAGAGAAAATGTTAAGGTGCCACCAATGCTGGAAACCGTGGAAAAGAAAACGCTCAAATGGTTCGCCCACGTTATGAGGATGGACTAGGGGACAGGGAATAGAGAAAATGTTAAGGTGCCACCAATGCTGGAAACCGTGGAAAAGAAAACGCTCAAATGGTTCGCCCACGTTATGAGGATGGACTAGGAGACAGGGAACCCAGAAAATTTTTTGAGGCAAGACCCACAGAAAAGAGGCCAAGAGAACGTGGAACAGAAAACTTGGATTGACGAGTGACCAAGCTCGGCAAAATGACCAAGAGGCAAACAGTTGGGTCATATGAGAGACCCGGTGAAGGACCGTGATGACTGGTGTAAATGGGTGGAGTCCCCTCCACGTTGAAAGGCACTAAGGAGGAAGACAAAGAAGAAGAAGGTTGATACATAAGATTAATTTATATTTATTTACTTATTTTTTTTATGAAGTTCCAAACGTTTTAAGGAAATTCAACTATTTATGCAAATACTTGTTATAAATGAAATACTATTGCTCAATAATTATTAAAGGAAGATGGTCCGGGGTGGCGGTCATAAATAGGCTAAATAGTGGCAAAACTTTTTATTAAAAGCCAATGTTTCGATCCGACTTTGTAGGTCTTCTTCAGAAGAACATACTTCAGTAGAAGTATGTTCACATTTGCATATATTATATATTACACTACAACAATTGTTACCATCTATTTATTTCAGTTTAGGATCTCGTTACTTAGCTTACTCTGTTTATATTTTAATGTACTTACTGTTTATAATTTTAATAAGCTTATTCACATTGTTTATATATATATATATATATATATATATATATATATATATATTCTTTTTTTCTAAATATTATGTAACTTCCACAATTCTCTATATTTTTTGTATCTTGTCCGTTTTAGCCCTGAAGAAGACCTACAAAGTCGGGTCGAAACGTTGGCGTTCAATAAAATATTTTTGCCACTATTTAGCCTATTTATGACCGCCACCCCGGACCATCTTCTTCCTTTATAATGCAACGGTCAACTATTAAATATTCAACTTAATAATTATTATTATTATATATTTATTATTCCATTAATACAACTCATGTACTTCTAATGTTTAGTTGCCTCAATAAGAATTCTTAGAAATTGAAATTAATATTCAATGATAATGAAATGAAATACTATTAAAATTTGTATTAAGTATATACCTACGTACAACATTTAAAATCAGTCAAGGAAACTCTGATCTAGGCTTATCATTTCACCTGTGGAAGGAAAAGCAGAACTCCTGTAGATCCCTGCACTACTTTTTCAACCGCATCTCTGGTACTAAAAGCCAGTGGAGATTGAGTGAGAGCACCACAGACTTATTCTTAAGGCAATAAAACCTTTTAAATTGATAGGTTGTTGAAATAATAATTATTGAAAAATATTACTTTATTGATTATAATGATCATTCATATTTATTATATTTTATGATCTTCTAGACACCATTTCTCACGTTATAATTTATCCACCCAAGTGGAAACAATGGCAATAACTCATATATAAATTAAATTATAATCAAAATTTAACGAACATTATAACCGTGATTCCTTCCTCTTACTGCACCAGACTACAATATTAATTATGGAACATTATAAGGACCGTGGGGTTTAATGATAAATTGCAGGCCGTAAAGTTAACAAGGCACTAAGCGAATGATAATTAGCTTTTGATAAATTAGATGGGCTAGGAAATCTTTTAAACAAACTTTATCCACATCACGATCCTGATGCAGCAACTTTAACCGAATCCGAAAGGTTGAAGGCGAAGGACAGAGGAACTGGAATCATGAAGTTTATAACCAGGTTTCTCGTAGCCTCTCTTACATACTTTTCCCAGTATGCTTCTTACATTTAGTTTTTCTTTTATCTGTTTACCCGTTACGAAGCAGTCAATGTCTATTTACTGACACATGTAAATTGTGTAAGTATAAAAAATGTCAGAGAGGAAGTTCTCTACGAAATCCTTCAAAAAGGGAATCGTTAATTGCTACTTTCCATTAAAATGTATTCAACTGTGTGTGTGTGTGTGTGTGAACAGTCTTGCTCAAAAATAAAAAGTCATACGAAAGTGAAATTTGATATTTAAGGTTTGTACATACCTTGTATTTCACAGCAACTTTTTCATAAAAATTGGCTAACCGGAAGTGCCACTTTGTATTAACTGTGAAACACATTTTTAAATTTTCTCAAAAACGGCTTACGATTTTTATTAAACTCGGTGTTGTATCATTGTATAATTAAGTGGTCTTTAATATCATTTAAGTCTTATCCCCATTGATGTCACTTTACAGGGCTTAAATGCCCATTGTTCATATACGTTTTCCTCTAAAGTACCTTTAATATGGTTTATTTTAAATAATTAACCATCTCTCATTATTAAGAGTTACGAAAAAATGCTAACTATAACTTTTGAAAGAATTTGATTATTGAACAAAAGAGAAGAAAATAA